AGGCTTAGTGACTTGCCTGAGGTCATGCAGGCAGCCCATTATGGAGCAGGGAATTCAACCAGGACTCCCAAACAGCCCACAAATGCTCCAACCCCTGGGCTGTCTGTTCTTTTGCTCCTAATTTTAAAGAGCTCAAAAGGTTCTATCCAGATTTCAGAGATGGTTCAGAGGTTATTGAAGGCAGTCTGGTTAAAATAACAGAATTGCTGGACCAAATAAAAATGTGCCGCTTAGGTGTAGACTTGCAGTATCAGTAAGTCAAATAAAGGTTTTTCAGCTGGCAGCTCTGGCTTCCTCTCACTTGCACAAGCTTGCTCTGTCATACGCACACACATGCCCTCTCTGCAACTCATTTTTCTTCTGCCTCGGAGGAAGGACTTGGTAAAAGGAAATTAGTATAATTAAATGGTTATGTAGGAAGCTGATGGTAAGTATTTACTTACATAAAATAAGTGGAGGAGAAAAAACTATGAGGTGGATTTCTTAGTGTTTGCTTTTTTTGGTTCATTTTTGTGAGCAGAGTATTGAGTGACAGAGATTTGTTGCCAGTAGAAAATGCTTGAAACACATTAGTCTGCTTTGGTATTAGAAAGATTAGAGGGCACACTGTGAGAATTTGTAAGGATTTATGTGCTTTTTAGAAAGGATTAAGAATTAAAAAAAATCCAGATTAGAAATGCCGTCTAACCACATCACTACCCTACAAGCCAACATTTGCATGGTGGTTTTCTATGTTTAATACCACAATGTTTGTATTGCAACTTCAATTACAGTTGGTTTTGTTTAAAGACCATACATAGTCTAGGTACACGCAGCATGTGAAATGAAATGTTATGAGTTCATGTAGCATCCTTGAAATCTTATTCAGCAGCAAGCTTGAAATACCTAAGAAAAAGATTGTAGGGATAGGCTCATTCTAGAAAGTTGCTTAAATGAAAGAAAAAAAAAAATCAGATACATTCTATAGCTTTTCAGTGTCTGCTTTCCTCCTTTCTATCAAATTTTAAGCTTGAACAAGATTTGTTCTCTGGAACACTGTTTCTTTAAAATATTTGGACATGGTAGTTCCATAGTAACACTAGACTGCACAACATGGAATTATTTCTTTGGGAACATATTGTTAAACATCCTCTAAGCTGCAAAAAAACCCCCTTCCTAATTACTTACTAGAAGCATCTTCAGCATACATAGCTAATTAAAGTCAGACTGCTAAATGTGGATGATTAGAGGCTTATGTTGCTAGAAAACTGCTTGTGCTGATTTGAGCTAATATTCATTTGTAAATTCAATCCCATTTAGACACTTTATTTAGAAAAACATAAATCTGTGCAAGATGTGCTTATGGAAAAGACTAGCTATTACTCTATTTTATGCTTTACAGTCTTGCTATATTAGGCATCAATTTGTTGACAGTTTTTGGCATCTTACCAACATGCAATAGAAACGTAACCTGACCAGTAAGAGTGGCTTAGTTGTTCAGGATTTTTTTCTTTCTTTCTTTCTGCTTCCCCTCCTCCTGTTTCTTTCTTTTCTTTTTTTTTTTCTTTTTTTTTTTCCTTTTCCCCTATTTCATTTTGTGTAGAGATTGATCAAATAGCCAGAGAAATCAGTGGAAAGCTGGTGTTGGGCTTTAGCTTGGTCTTTTCATCAGAGGGTCTTTCCTAGCCACAGGACTTTTCATCCAATGCAACCTGGACATACCTGAGCCCAGTGATGCTTGGAGGATGAGCGTATGTTGAATAGAGTGTATTTTCTGGGCATATGCTGGTGGCTCTGTTTCAGGTAGTTGGTGAGTTTGGTCTTGTAGTGTACCCAGTGTGGAGATTTCTGTGCCTAAGCAGGTGTCATGCCTAACAAGTTCCTTAAAGTTGCCCTGTATAAGCAGTGCATTGTACCTGAGGACAGATATGAACATTTGGTTCCTACAAAATAGTCCTGTGAGCACCTGCAGTGCATATGGTTTTCTCTCTTGCTTGTTTTAGTCATTATAATGGCATTGACCAAAATGGAGTTCCATTTGCATGGGTGAATATCAAGTTTGAATTGGATTCTGGATGCTGGTGGTTGTGTTTTTTTGTTTTGTTTTCAATTTTATTACTCTTACAATATTATTTTTAAAACAAAATTTAGGGGGTATATGCTTTTTTTGATGTTGTTTTGGTTTTGTAAACTCTCTGCAAAGTTGATACAGATGTGTGTGGAAGGATAGGTTTTGTTACTGGCTTCTTATGGAACAAAATGCATGACAGTGTCTTCAGACTAGAGAAGATTTTCATAGCATCTGTATTATACCTGGCACGTTATTGTCACTACTAGTGGTCTGAAAATTTTATTGCAGGCTTGTATTGGCAGACTGATTTGTTTGTTAAGAGTTTCACAGCTAGAGAGACATTGTGGATTTTGGCATTTATAGGCTATGGAAAGGTGTAGCTTAGCAGAGGAGAAGAGTATATGGGAAGAAAAACTGAAGATTGAGTAGTTAGTGGAACATGTTGAAAAGTGAAGATCATCTGTGGAAAAGAGAAATTCAAGGAAGCACTTTGAGAAGGAGGACAGAAAAAACAAAAATTAGAAATAAACCTTAAAATGGGATTTAGGCCAATTCAGAAGAGGTAAGCAGATACAATATTATCAACATCATATGCTAAAAGTGACAAAAGATCACAGCTGATATTTATGGCAATTTGAGATTTGAAAAATGTTTGTTCTTACTCTGTAAAGAAAAAAAAATTAAAAAATATGCTGGCATATATGGACTCGGTATGCATCAGTTTACAGCTGTGTAATTGATTAAAAATCTGCTGGGATAAACGGCAGTTTTAGCTGAGTGGAGAACTGAGTTTGGAGTCTTGACCTTAATGAAATAATTCTCTCACTTTTCAGGCAAATGGTTGTTCATTGGGGTGACTATAGCTGTGAGAGACTTATTCTTTGTCTGTTAGGGTGCTAGGTACATTTGTTAGAAAAGAAGCAAGTCTTTGATTTCATTTCTTGTCTCTGGAATACAGTCAGTTTCTTAATTTAAATTATATTATGATTTCATGTAGTTTTTTGATAAGGTACAAAGATAATTTTGGGGTGGGGTCCCGTCCCCGTCCCCCCCCTTTTTTTTGTGTGTGTGTGTTTTAAAGAGTTGCTTATACTGGAAAGGGAGACTTTTGCTGTGCTCTCAAGTGACTGGCTGCCAATACAGAGGTTCACTGCAAGACTAACTCTCACGTAAATGAAGGCAGAATGTCTCAGTTTAAAGCTTTGCATCATGGTTAAGGAAATCATCTTTATTCCATGTATGTGCTGGTCTCAGCAATTCAATTGTTAGAAACACTACAGGATTTTCTTGGGTTTTTGTATGTCTATATACAGAAATGCTAACAGAACACCATTCCAGAAGAAATCCAAAGTCCATGTCATCTGGATTCTAATGAATGAGGAAGGAGACTTCAAGCATTTTTTTGAAAATCTGCGTGCATACATAATTTAACTGATATCTGGGAAGGATTTGCCTTCTAAACCATAGTTCCTGACGAGGGCATACTGTGAAGCAGAAAGCTCTGTGGCTCCCGCACCTTAGAACAAAACACTCTCTGGACATGCCTCTTCCTCTCTGTTGACTGTGAGGGAGCCAAAACTTCTAGTTCAGATTAAGCATGTAACTTTTAGACTAATAACTTCCATAAGAGGAGCTGCCCTTTTAAACTGTTTTTGATCAATGTGGATAAGGTGTTTCTGTATGTTTATAGAGCAAGTCAGGTATGCTATATGGAAAACTGTGTTCTCAGACTGGGTTTTCAGATACATACATGTGACATTCGAGTGTAAGTCCTATTTGGAAATGAATGAGCTTTGTGTTCCCCTGCTCCCCAAATCACTGCAGCCTGTTTTAGAAAAAGTATCCTTCATACAGTAAGGAATAATGTGACCCTGGTTTAATTGATTTTTCTCTTGTTCAAATTGAAGTTTCACTGTTTACTCAAGTATTTTTTATTTTAATTTTCATCAGAATCAGATTAATAAATACATAGTCTATCATGCATTGGTGTGTATGGCAGAGGATTATGACTGGAAGCCCAGTGTTCTCCATTGGTTCAACATGACCTACTGGTGGGTCAAGCCATTTCTCAGTTTTTTTTCCTTTGTTAAACTTGTCTATTAAATAGGCATTTTACAGTGGGGCTTCTAATTTATGTAGATGATTCAAGAAATTAGTGCTAGGGTCAGCTACTACTTTATTTTCTGGAAAACATCACATTTTACTTTTGAAAAGTACAATAATTTTTGCTTTCTTTCAAATGTGTAGCAGAAGAATCACCTCTGAAGCAGGTATCTGTAATGAGGTCTCTAAAACGCCATTTCTGCGGCATTATGAAATTTGGTCTTCATGCTATTTTACTAGTCTGTGCTGTAGAAGGATTTGCAGTAAAGTAGAGACTTGGAATTTCTGCAAAAGTATTTGTTATGTACTAGCAGTACTTTGGAGGAAGATATCCAGATATTTCTTAAGAACTTGAAGCATGGTATGAAAAATCAGATTTTCCACATTCCTACTTGCAACTTAAATCCAGTGCACACAGAGGTCTCTCTATTTCATAAGTACTTGTTTAACGCTGGCTCTGCTTTTGAGACTTACTGATTTTGGTGTATTCCAGGCCAGGAAAATCAAAGTCACATTGTGAAAATATCCTCCTGAAATAAGTTATTACCTTTTAATGCAGTTGTAAAGGATGACTTTTTGGTTAAGGCTCTGGCCTGGGACTTGAGAGTTCAAAGTGAGTTCACCTCAAGGCTGTGGCCCTGTCTGCAACTGTAGGCACACCAGGCAATCTTTCTGGGTCTCCGTTCCCCACCCAGAAAATAGCACTTGTCACCTTAGACTGAAGACTCTTACTATGTATACGAATATAGTATACATATAGAGCAATCTGCTCCTGATTCTTAGCTGTTACTATAACGTAAGTAATTAATCATCATAACTTCTATATTACCACTTGTTTCGCTTTTACAGCCCACATCATGGGGGATGTGAAGCTGGTGACATCTACTCGAGTCTCCAAAACGTCCCTGACACTCAGCCCCCCTGTCCCTGCTGAAGCACCAGCATTTACTCTTCCTCCTCGGAATATTCGAGTGCAGCTGGGAGCCACTGCAAGATTTGAGGGGAAGGTAAGAAACAAGAGATGGTGGAGGGCTTCTCCATTTTGTTTTGCCCTTTCCTGAAGCTGCCTAGTAGGCTGCAAAGATAGTGAAGTTGCCTCAGCAATACAGGACCTTTACTCAAGAAGAATACACCAGTGTTTACCCTCCTGAGGAGGCAGGAGCATTACAGATCTGTTTGAGTAGAGTTTTGCAAAACCTGAGTATGTGCCTATATAAGTATAACCTAGTTGAGCATGCCAGGCACTGAGCTTAGTATCAGTGGAAAACTGGTTCAAGACCTGTCCCTAATCAGAGAGTACATATTCTCCTACTGCATGTTCATCTCCCTGCATCCCAAATCTGCCTGTTCATGAAGCTTCACGTGTAACACAAATCTAACCCTGGTACAGCACGTTATTCCTAGCAGTCAGGCTGGGAATCTGTAAAGAGAGTTGTGACATTTTTGTATCTGCACCACCTGCCATACATGTTGTTAATCTGAAAGCAAAAAGAGCATTTTCAGAGGAAAGATTGATTTGTTCAAGAAAACTTGGTAATCCAGAAGGTTAAAAAGGGTGTGTAGTGGGGTGTGGATCCCAGGTTCTTCCCTTCCCCTCATGCTTGGGACACTGAATTGTGCTTACTGGCATCCATATTTCTTTCATGCTTTAATCCTGATATCATGTCTTCCTTGTTCTAGCTATCTTCCTTTCTCCTCCCTTAAATCATTTTCTTGGAGCTGCAAGTATTCCTTCTCAGCCCTTTCAGCTTCCTTCTGTCCATGTCACGCTCTGACTGCATGCTGACAGCTATATCATCAAACTGACCTCACTTACTCTTTGAAGTGGTGGGACTAGTCTGACAGAGGCAGGAAACTGCAACTTTACTGTAACAAAAGCAAGGGCTAGAAGGAATTGGGAAAGTCATAACTTCTGCAGCTCTAACTTAAACAGAGGGCTGGTAGAAGGCATCTGATATTTATCTTAGTTGGGTATGCAAGAGCAGGCCAGGAACTGGGATTTTTCAACAGGAACTGAGCAGAAAAACAATTTTTGGAGCAGATAAATTTTTAAGTGCAAAAACAAAACTCAGAAGTAGTGCGGGGATTTGACTTTTTGAAGAAAAGTTGGCATTTTTCATAGAAAGCAGGTAATTTCAATGAAGACCAAAGGACAGTTTTTTATTAAACCTTTAGAAAGATTTCTCAAATATTAGCTTACTTTTATTGTGATTTTAAGGCACCAGTCAGAAACCCTCTGTGTGTGTGACATTCGCCAGTCCCAGTGAGCATTCCCTTTCTTACTGTTTTTATCCTTCCTGCCCATTATTTCACCTTGCTTTGTTGCCGTTTTTCCACTGTGTCTGCGTGTTGCTACTTTATGCATGTGACACCTATGCATGATACTATTCTAACTCTGACTGATTCTTCCAGGAAACACTGCAACTGGCAATAACAGTACAGTGAAATCAAAGTTGAAGCATGTGATGTTGCTAAGATTTGGTTTTACATATCTCATATTTCCTAATGAAAAGCTCAAGTGGGATATTTCCAATTTTTAGTGCACTCTGCAGACTTTTTACTATTAGCCAAATGGAAGCAATTGTAAAATATAATGACCTGCAAGCTAGAGTGCCATCACTGCTTTGCATTTTTTTCAGATTTGGTTTTAAAGTGTTAATTTTTCAGGGATACCTATCCACTTTTTAAAGTTACTTTGAAGGCTGGAAGGGTGAAGTCTGAAGGGGTTTTTTAGTAACTTGGGAAAAATACACAAGTTCAGTACTAATTAAACTGACAGGCTTAAGTTCCTTGAAGGAGCAAAGCTTTGATTGAAGTCCTGGATTGAACCTACTTGATGAAAATCTAAATTCCAGTTCTGCCCATTTGGCATATGAGCATGGCTGAAACCTTTAATTTTCCATCCTTAAAATGGGGATGATAATATACTAGTTGCATGCATGTCATACAGCTGAAATAAACCTTCAATGCTCAAAGTGCTTTTTTAAGTGCCAAACATTAAGAGCACAGCTTCACTGAAATACATGTGAGATCTGCAATTACTTTGTGGCAAGTAGCCTGCCTTAACAGTTTGGCAAACCAAGATGACGCAATTACAGCCACTGTCTTTGGCACTTCAGCCTTTTGCTATGCATGGAGCATTGCCTGATTTTTGTTCAAGTCCAGCTTGCTGCCCCAGAGGAGCTTTGTTTTACCTCTTTCAGCTAACAGAGGTGAGAAGAAACATGTAACACAGCTGAAGACATAAACCAGCCAATCTTTGTCATAGTAAATTAGTTCCAAATTTCTTGGAATCCACCCTAACTGGAGGCTGAGATACGAACTTGCAGGGGGTTTTTTTGGTTGGTTTTGTTTTTTTGTTTTTTTTTTTTGGCGGGGGGGCTGCATAACGAGCTATGTTATAAGAATTGGACATAGAGAGTAATGGAGCACAGCATGTTCTCCTTGTTATCTTCTTATACAAGAAAAAAAGAGGGGTTTAATTATAATACCAACTATTAAAATTTAGTCTGTGTGATCTGTTGTTTATAATGTAACATGGTTGGGTACATTGTGTTTGGTTTTGTTGTTTATAACTGGTGGGTTCAAATTAGTATTTTGTTTCTGCTCCTAGTCTAATAACGTGGGCAGGGTGAGGGAGAATGCAATGGTAGAGTTTGAAAGGATACTGTCACTTAACAGCTGCAGCAGCCTGCAGAGCTTGTATCGTCTGGGCCCATCTTCATCTGGTTAGTACAATATTGCTGCTTCTGTCACTTTAATGTTCCAGAGGTTCAGAAGGACAG